GATAATCATTCTCGTGCCATAAGGCGATTTCTTTTCGGAGTTGTAGATCATCTGCTGCAGCCTTAGCTTTTGCAGCATCTGAGTCAGACGTTTTGGAAGTCCCGTCTGAATCTGCAAGTGAGTTACCATTAGGTAGTTCAGATGATGCAGAAGGGACAACCGGGATATCCTCAGTCAGAACATGGGCAACCTTTTTCAGAGTTAAGAAAAACTTCATCTTAGCTTGCCATCGTTTGAAATTGGAACCCTCAAACCTGAAAGGTTTGTCAGAGACCGAAGCGGCCGCAGTAGTACCGATAATTTCCTCAGTTGCCATGACAGTTATTAAATCGTCTTAAAATTGTTGTTTTCGAATTTGAAAAATTGAGTTTGGCACAAGGAAATTATCGGGACGAGTCGCGTACTAGGTCGCTTTCTTTAAGACGTTTCGCCGTACTACCAAAATATGCAAAGCAGTCGATTTACGACGACGTCTCCAGGATAAAACAGCCCGTTCAATAACGTACGATTGATAAATCGCTCTAGAAATACACCTTTCTAAGTCACAGTATTTGGCGAAAATAGCCAGTCGAAAAAACAAGAAAAAACAAGAAAAGAAGGATTTGTAGACGAAGAGAATCAAGGGAGAGAAGATGGAAATCAAAATTCGTGTGAACCTTTTTGAAATCCTCCTCTCCACTACCGAACTTCTACCCTGTATTTATAGGCAGCTAGTAAGGCTGAGTAGGAAGAAATTCGTGGTGAATGGAGAAAATCGTGGGAGAACGGGAAAATACTGGATCTAGTCAATATGGCAGTTACTGACCAATTATTTTCTTACTTAATTAATATTTATTATTAATTAATTTTCCACCGAATTATATTAATTAATTAATGATAATTAAATTCTATAAATTTGGGTCCAAAAAATAATTCATCTAGACCGGACCGGACCGAACCGAACCGAGCCGGACGGCGGCGGCGCGCGCGTGTGTGTCTTGATGGTCATGGGTGTGTCCTCACTCCTTTCACAAAATTGGGTGTCCTTTAGGGCCCAACCCAATTGACCAAGTTGGAATATATAAACACTACTAATATTTCCATTCCCTTCAATGTGGGACTAAAATGAATCTTTTTAATGCACCATTTATGTTTATTAGCCCATGTGTAAAATTACTTAAGTGCCTCAAAATTTTGGAGATACATCTCCGAACGCACCAAATTCTGATTAAACAAAACATTCTGGAGATGTATCTCCATAATAATTTAAAACATACTATGCATCACACTAAGAAGTCAATATACACGTGTATTGTACCGAAGGTGTCTCTCCATAAATTTTACAGAGATACATCTCTGTAACGTATCAGGACATTACTTTTCATGTTATGTTTTGTTTATGTGTATTTAGATGCTGATTTAAACCACATCATACAACCGAAATTTAAAAAAAGACGTACATAAATCTAGATGGTCCAAAAATGTCATATATAAATAAAAGACCAATAAATATAAAAAAAAAATATCATATAATCGAGAACAATGATAAAGTAGCATGATGTCAAAATAAAATACATACCATAGTACTACTACTATATACTAATGCACTACTGTGTATGTCCGACTACCTCTCATCTGCCTCATTTGTCTCTTCTGCCTCCTCGACCATCAATCACCTCCATCCTCTGGCACTGTCTCTGATACTTCAATGTCCCTTGTGCCTTCGTCATGATAACATCTAGGATCTGCCTCGCATCAGACCCGTTAGAGAAGATACATGTGTCAATGTCTGCTTGTGCAATCTCCACTATTCGACGACATCTAGGCAAGACATCCTTAGCATGATCTAGTTGTGTTTGCTCTTCTTCTAGTATCTTTTGATGAGTTGGCCTCGACGGATCTCCTAGAGCAGCCTGAACCATATACAGATGTGACAACCTGAACAACCATCCAATATATCATTCGACATAGCTCCATTCGCTCTCAGTTATGGTACTACGTGCCTCCTACGATACCAAATTACTCTCATATTCATCAAACATGTCATATATTTGTCTACGTGTTAACGCGGGAGGAACATGGACAATAGGGTGTTTAAGAATGTTATGCGTGTAGCCGAACTGCCGTATGACACGCTTAGACAGATGAGGAGCAGTGAGACGCGATACGCATGCCAACCATCTAGAGTATAAGACTATCTCGTCAAATGGTTGCGGCTCACGGTGATCAACATAGTTGTTGAAGTGCATGTGCTCGATAGCCAAACAATCAAGATAGACTCTAAAAGGCTCGGCCACTTGGTTCCTTCTGAGCGGGGAAAAGCAGTAGCATGCAACACATCTTCAGTGTAAGTCGGTATACTCGTCCAACCGGAGATGCGCGAGAAGTGCTGGAGGATCCAATCCTGAAATGAAAAGTTTGGAACACACGAATTATCTGTAATGGCTTTGCAAAGATGAAATGAAAATGACAAAGATACATACAAATACCAAATATTATTACCGTAAGTAGTATGATGTTTCCCGTGACCTGCTTCCTCTTCCACATACAATCCTCTCTCAACTTTGAGTACAGGTAGACCAAATAAATGGCCCCTGAGTTGTACTCATGGGTCTGCTCGAAGTACCGTAGGTAGATGAAGTTTGTATAAGTGACACCATTGTCCATTAAAATCACAGTGTCAATGCTATATAGAATGTATGCTCTCATAGCATGTGATTTGTGGAGTTCCACCTGCTCATCATCACCTCTAGCCTATTGTGCTCTTAAGATCTCAATCGTATATATGTTGTTCAAGTATTCAAATCTAGAATGAACACCCCTGGATTTATCCAACTCCTCATTTTCCCCCTAGATCACCCCCTAGATAGTCTACCATCATATAAAGTGCCTCATCTTTGGTAATCCTCCCATGATCTAGAAGCCTCCCCTTGATCGAAAGATGTAGTAAACATGAGACTTCGTCGAGTGTGATAGACATATCACCATACGGGAGATGAAATGAAGAGGTTTGCGAGTGTCATCTCTCCACTAATGAATTAAGCATCATGTGGTTGACCGTAGTATAATTAGTTATGCACAAGTACTTCTGGCCGGATAAGAACAAAACTGCCTGAAACCAAACCTCATTCGAATGAGGCAAGCCAGTAATCTTCCGCATGTTGTTAATAAACTTTTACGGATCACGCTCCTGGAAAAAAATAAAAATCAATGTCATAAATTTGTCAATTAAAATGAACGTAAATAAAAAATAACAAATCCAACTAATGTTACATCTCCATCCCATATATGTTTGGTTGTATGGTCTGGGTACAGAGGAAACAATGATAAATCTACAGGGCCTCCTCCAAATGCTTATAGCTTAGCATCCACAATAGTCTCACCTTCAGGAGGTGACACTGAATTAGCAAATCAGTAGTATGAGGTAGCACAGACTCAGAAGCATCCACAGTAGGAGGTGACACTAGTGAATCGGGTACCTTAGGCGCCTGAATAGGAAAAACCTGGCACCTGCAGGAGGATGGAGGGAGTGATGCGCTAGTAGGTGAATCTTGTCTCCTACGGGAAGAAGAAAATGGAGTGGCATGAGGAGAATCATGAGCCCCAAAAGTAGATGGCTCTGCATGGCCAAATGGACCAGGAGCCTCTGAAACTTGCTGAGTCTTCTCTTGTCACACTGATGCGTGCAAAGCAACCCTCTTGTGTCTCAGTATATCGTGTCTATCAGCCATTATGCTTGTAAGTTAAAGTAAAGCAGACAATTAGTGCAGGCAAACAACACCACAAGCAAGAAAAAAAAATACTAATAAAAGTTGGAAGATGCGTCTCCGAAATTTGAAAAACTATAACGATGAAAAACTCCAGAGATGCATCTCCGAAATTTTTTGCAACTCAATAATTGCGTCAATGACGCCAATGCACCCATGTAATTCAAACAAAAAAAAAAGTTTTGATAATTCATTTCAACCAACAAACGTGTAATACACTATGTTTAAACTATCATACATACAATTTTTACTCATTTCTAACTTTAATCATTAATTTCTACTCTTTAACACACTCAAAAATTTATTTAAAAAAAACTAAAAAAAAACATACAAATTTCAACGCTGAATTAGGGTTGATGATGTTTAAGATGTTAATTGAAGTTTCCTTTAGTTTTGTTAATTGGTTTTTGACTTGTTGAAGAGAAAAAAGTTGATAGAGGTTGAAGTTGTGTTTGAGCAAAATGAAAAATGAAAAAGGAGAAGAGTCTAATATGATCTAACCTCCAAAATATTTTAGAGATACATCTCCGAAATATTTTAACATTAACTGAACATTTGATGTATTTAAAGATGCATCTCCAAAATTTATAAACATTTATATATTTTCGCGTGGTGACTAAGAAATAAAAATGTGCATTAAAAAATCCTCTATATTAAACCCATTCTCTATAAACATCCAACTTTTTTCCTCCACAATGGAAGAATTTATTTAGTTTGATATTAAAAATTGACGCACTCATTATTCTGGATGCTCTTAGTAATTGCATAGGGTTTTTTACATTGTCCAAACAAAATTCATGGAAACAAAATCCCTTTTTAACCAAAATGATTCCAAACTTAACATTATACTCAGACTTATCTAACAGCAATTAAACACAAACAAATTTATCTAAATTAATTTACAAACTTTAATTCAAACACGCTATATGATATGGAGAACTTTTGCCTTTACTTTGTTTGTCTTCTTTCATCTTTTGTAGCCAAGATAAAATAGGAGGAAATCATAAATTTATACAAATCTTAAGTAATTTCTCAAGGATTCGGTTTCTGCTGAGCATGATATACTAATAGTGTTGTCACCAACAGGTTCTAAATGCACACTCCCGCTTAGCTAGCTGTATAGTATACATTCACAATGCTAAAATAAATACATCTGTCTATGGCGTTATTCAGATGTTGTAATGGGAGTTTAAATATTTTTACATCAAAAAAATCGAGACAAAAATAGCAAAACTGCATAAAACCCATTGAAGCTCATCTTATGACAACTTCCAATTTGTTCTGCACCAGTTCTCTTACTTTCCACTGCATTGATGGAGGAAAAACGAAAGTCAGTATTAGCATCCAAAAAAAAATACGACTACGTCAAACTAGTTAAAATTGTACTGATTTACTTTATAATTATATTCAGTACCTGCAGATCGTTAATTTCATCATCAGTAAGAGAACGCTCCATAGACCTATATGCAATCCTATAGCAGTGGCTGGTCATTCCTTTCTTGTTGGTGAAGTTGTCTATTAATTGCACCTGTGATTTCGTGAAACAAAACAGAATCAGAATGGGACCAAAGTTATGCGGCGCCAAAGGGGTAAAAAAGAGGAAAAGGTAGTCTTAATCCAGTTAAAAACTAAAATGACTAATCTCAAAAAGAGGAAAAACGAACAAAAGAAGATAAGAGGGTACATAGTTGAGAAGCCCAACATAAGGAAAAGAAAAACTTCAATCCTTTTTGGGAACATGTGTTTTTTCTTCTTGATTATAAGAATCCGAAATTACAAGGAACAAAGTAAATCTAGTAATCCATGAATTTCGAAGTTACATCTCCATGTGAAGATCATGGGGGTTGTGTGGTTTCATCCTCACAGGCAATACTTATACAACAGGTGATCACTTATGCTAATGTTGATGCGAAAGTTCTACTTCAAAATAGATGCTCTACTTCCCCATTGTGATCTAATTGAAGACAATGTCTCTTGGAAGAGTAAAAAACACAGTTCTTGCCAGATCTATAGTTCAAAACAGAGTATCTATTATGATTTTTGTGTCAATATTGTCACATTATCTTCATTCATAATCCTCATATTATGTATTTTATCCCTATTAAACAATACGAAAGCCGCCAAATTGAGAACCTACATAAATATTACGAGGATAAATTGACTCAATTACTCAAAGTTGTATATGTACCTCTTCTGCAAGATCCCCTGCTACTCCTCTGACAACTTCACACAAATTGTTTTCAGTAAATGATTCATTGATCCAGAAACTGATGTCCTTGTAACAAGGAGGATACTGTAAGAGGAAAACCGAGAGAAGAATTAGAATATCCTCAAAATATTTTTATCATTTATCCAGAGTCACAATATAAAGTAAAAATAAATTTCTGAGTCAATAACAATACAGTCCAACATGCAGAATATAACACCAGGGATCCAAGCAAAAAAACGTGTTGGTAAGATTGCTTGATTAAACTCCCTCTAGTATAAGATTTACATATACTAGACAAGTATTGTTTGACAAAAATGAAACAAAAATGCAGAAATTATATTCTAAACTTATTTGTTTAAAATAACTGGTTATCTAAGCAAATCAAGACAGGACCTTTAATACAGTAAAACATTAAAATTGTGGCGAGTTTCTATTATTAATCATACATTGCAATTTAGACCCGCAATTACTCAATAACAATGCAAGAAGTATTAACAGTTTTGCATAAAAATTATATGGGCCATCTTATGTTTTCAGCCAAGTGGATCATTCACTTACAACTTAGAATTGCGGTATTATTTTGAAAGGAATAACAAAATTCCTAACTAGTAACTACTCAGAAAAATGACAACAAATGTAGACACCATGAGTAAAGATGCGCATGTAGTGTAGAAGTTACCTTTGAAAATGACTTAAATTTGACCCCTAACTGGCCCTTGGAGAACTGTATATAAAATAAAGTAACACATTATATTATATTAATTATCAGAATGACTAACTCATACATCCTTGCAGTCAATTTGACAACCAGGAAAAATAAGTGAAATATTGAAGGATGTTTGTCAAAAGTATCCGATAAATACCTGGGAGGTAAATCGCTCATCGTTTGACCAAAAGAGACGAATATCCGGTATGTCAAATAGAACCATAGCTAACCTCTCCAAACCTAGGCCAAAAGCCCAAGCAACATTATTAGATACCCCATTTCTTTTCAGAATCTCTTGCTCTGTCACTCCACACCCTAAAACCTCCAACCACTTTTCCTGAGACAAAAAAAATCCAACATAAACTGAATAAACTAGAAATCCCTGCTTTAATTGATATTTTTTCTTGATTGGAAAATGAGCTTCCTAATGTGGAGTGCCTTAGATTTAGGATTTGACCCATCCTTTTTATTTCTGGAAAAATATACATAACCTCAATTTAATCTAGGAAAGGACCAGAGGGTGTATCGACTCGACACTATAACTTTGGATGTAAGAACCATTAACAAGAATTACGTAAGCGTGGTGCATTCAAGAGACAACCATGAACATAGAATACCTTGAAATATATTTCAAGTTCAAATGATGGATTAGTAAATGGGAAATACGTATCGACCCATCGCATTTCCACATCACCTGAAGTACAAGGGAAAAGGCTATATATCAGCATTTTGTAAATTATACTTGGCTCCAAATGAATATATCAAATTCACAATCACAACCAGACACCTTTATTAAATATAATTTTTCACAGAATCCTTTTTTAGCATTACAATTTACAATGAGATGATCATCATGAAATATTATAAATTTTACTTTCCTATTGACAATGTTTTTATAGGCAATGATGATTTCCAATTTGCATTTGCATGTGTGTGTGTACATATAAATATTTGCGCGCACACACTTACAAACATAGCTTTTGTGAAGAGAGGCATTCTCTTTTATCCCAGTTAAGCAAAAAGGCCATAAATTATGCACTTGTGGACGCTCATGTTATCTTACAATTGAGTCATGTTTTATTTCTTTTACTTAGGAACAGCAATAAGGGGCAGCCTAATGCACAAGACGCATAAAGGTTCTTTCAAAAAAGCATAAAACAAATTTCTCAAACAATCGAAAGCTCTATAGAAACTTTTGACAAAATTTGTTTCGCTATGCATGAACAATGAAATATGCAAGTATGAATGTTTATGAAATGAAGATGAAGTTTCTATCAAACTCGCATCAATTCTTTTGTTTTCTTTAATTAATTCATCTTACTAATCCTCTTCATTTATCAAATTGCAGCAACTGAAAAATGAAATGTGTGCATTGATTATTTGCAAATACCAAATAAATGGCGTGCTAGACCCTCAAGGCATTTCTTTAGGTCTGCTGCTGAAAATGACGTGGCATCCATCCCAGAAGCCTCCCATTCCTCTGGAACAAAAACCCGAAAGCCTTCCATCTACATGATATAAGAAGAGGAAATTATATAAATGTAATCATTAGGGAATAAACCAGTTACTGCATAAGGGACATACTTGATGGAAGACAGGATAATGAGTAGAATCAATTGAATCCCTTCGATAAACATCCCCGGTAACAAGGAAATGAGTGTATCCATCTCTCAATAATTCTGCCTGATGAGCACTTGTGTGGCACCTTAAAACAGTTTGAGGGTCTATGTAGTATGTATCATTATAGCTCCTACTCACATGATCTTCAGGAACCAAGACATCATCAAAGTTCTAGAACATAAAGAAGATTGTCAGAAGGAAGTGCTGTTATGAAGTTCAAACTACCTCGCCAACCAAAAAGAAGTATTTCCTTTGTCCCATATTAAGTATCACATTAGCAAAAGAAAAATGTCTTAAAACAAGTGTTGCTTTATGTTTTCAGTGTAACATTAATTACTTTATTCCAATTTCATTTCCAAATTAATGTTATGTGTATCACTCCCAAGTCCACTGTACTCCACTACGCATTTATGACATTGGTTAATAAGGATAATTTTGTAAAATTGTCATGCATTTTCGTTTATACAAGACGGAGGGAGTAAAGTAACCTAACGTGATACTACTTAATACAAGACGGAGGGAGTAATATGCAAGAAAAGAAATCAACAAGAATCGGATTCAATGCGCCTATTGATAAGGAGTAATCAACAAGATAAGAAACCAATTAGTTGGTTAGCTAGCTGTCAGTTAGACCGTTAATAAGGCACCATATTGTGTACATGTATTCACTATGGAAAGTTGAATAACAAAAGTTAAAGAACCAATGTGATAACAAAAAACAATATCGATGCATCATATAGGAGCAAAGGGCAACATATATTTTGGTGCATTTACCATACCTGCTTCAATGAAACAATAGGACAGAGGTTGTCAAATTTATTGAACTTGTTTGAATAATTTGTGTCAAAATACTCGTATATCGCATTCTTGAGTATCCCAAGGGGGTGTTGATCCCTCCTGTGAAGCTGCATTCCAAGTTTTGAAAATATGTTGTCTGGAACATTGTTTGTTGGATCATCCCTCACTACATCTAAAAGACCAAAAAGCAGAAATGATAAGATTTTCACGAACAAAAGAATAATTTTCAATAAAAAATCTTCGACAGAAAGTAACACTGCACGCATAGAGGCACATACATAGCAAGAAAAATAGAAAACAAAAACAAGTTATACACTACCCATAGCATCCTTGTAAATTGCATGTTAGTAATCATATCCAAATACAAAACTGCAATAAAATGGCTTCAATGTCATTCATTTGGAGAAGAGGAAATAGGACATAGTCTCAGAATTTGGGTTGGACCTAACTCATGCCTACAAAACCGGTTTGTAAGGTGAGGATTTCCCCCACTTATAAACACAACATAGGTCATATCTCTAAGCAATGTGGAACTAAATTCACCCCTTCAAACCCAACACAATGAAGGTGTTAGGGGCTGCAACAAAGACAAGACAAATGCCGCAATTAAAATGACTAGGGGCGGGCTGCAATTAAGATGAAAATTCCAACACACCCCCTCACGCTTGGGCCTCAATGAGCCCAAAGCGTGAACGATGCGGGAAGCCCAACAATGAATCTAAGATAGGCTCTAATACCGTCTTAGGATTTAGATTGGGCCTAACTCATCCCTACAAAGCCGATTTGTAAGCTGAGGATTGCCCCCACTTATAAACACAACACATGTCATATCTCTAAGCAATGTAGAACTAAATTCACCCCTTCAAACCCAACATAATGAAGGTGTTGGGGGCTGCAATGAATGCAAGTCAAATGCCTTAATTAAGGTGACTAGGGGCAGACCACAATTAAGGCGGAAATTCCAACACATAGTGATAGATATTCTCATTAATTCTTTATTACATAATTTGTGGTTGTATAGAGCACCTGTCAAAGGTTCAAATGATTCAAAACAATGGGGGAAGAAGAACTGAGAACCTTATAGTTCACATGTAGCTAAGTATCAAAGCTTTTAAGGACTGCCACAAATTCTAGGAGAATTTTGAGGACTGCAAACTATTAATAGGTTCTGAAAAAATGGATTATATCACTTCAAAGGAGTTGCTACAGAATTTAATACAGAATTACATGCAGAGGGAAGTAAGCTTTGAAAAGAAAATTAGTCTCTTGAAAAAAACAATTGCTTCCCTGCAGTTAAGCACCGAGACTCAGCCATAAGCTTCTATTGCTCTTGATTATTAGCTTCTCAAGGAAGAAAAGTGGCAGGAATGGTAGATTACAAAGTACCTTGTTTGGTAATCTTGACTCCGCCAAGCTCCAATGAAGAGAGTACTGGTTGTCTCCATTTCTTGTTGGAACGCTTGTCAGAAGAGAGAGAAGCAGCGGAAGATGAGAAAGGTAAACAAAATGCTAAGCTTCTTAAGCTATTATTACTGTGACGAATGAGAGATGCTCCAACAAAAAGTGTAGTATGCGCGGAAGAGATCATCATTGCCGCACAAATGACTGTTGCACACGGTTTCTGTAAAAAATTCAACGAAGCGAGATGAGTAATTCAGTTACTAGTGGAGCTATTCACGGCTGCAAGATAATTCTCTTGTGCGTTTGCAGGGACAGCGCCATCGCGACCGCGAATCGCGCTGGATTGGCGGCACGCGACACAAAGAGGGGAGTGAAGGTAATTCCGAATAGAAAAAAATAGAAAAAGGGACGAATTTCTCACTGTTTGTGGTGGCTGAATGTCAACTCCGGCTGCGTTTTAGCGGTGGTGGTGGTGGTGCGATGGCAGTTCAAGTGTAGTTCAGTTCAGAGTTGAGACTCCATTTCATCTCTTATCAGATTTCTTTCTATTGCCCCCATACGATGTGTTATTGGGATAAAAAGGGTATTTTCACATTGTTACCATTTTTGCCTTTGTTTTAATTTTATCTATAAATTACAATCAACGTAATAAATAATTAGACTGAACCAGCCAGTTACAGCTTCCCACAAAACCGGGTGCCAATTCATAAAACCGGTAGAACTTGTAAATATATAAAAACATTTTCTTTTTAATATTTTTTATAAACACTCTATTTTTATTAAATGTAATATATAAAAGAAAAATATCAATTTTATATTAAATTCATACATTTACACCTTATTTGACTATTCATCAATGTAATGAACAGTAAAATATAATAATAATACTTTTTTTTAAAAAGTAAATTTAATTACAATTTTGATCCTCTATTTTCATTTTTTTACTTTTGATTCTCCTATTTTGAATTTTAGAATTTTTATTCTCCTTTTTTTTTTTTTTGATCTTCCTATTTGAAAATTCGAAATTTTAATCTCCTTACTTTTACTTTTATAGATTTTTAGTCCCTTTCTCAATTGAAAAGGGACTAAAATGCAAAACAAACTTAAAATAGGAGGATCAAAAATATTTTTAAAAAAATGAAAATAAAAGAATCAAGGCTTAATTGCAACTATGGTCCTCCTATTTTGCATTTTTTGGGGTTTTGATCCCTCCATTTTAAAAACCACCATTTTGGTCCCTTTTTTAAGTTTTGAGTTTGATTTTAGTCCCCTCTCCAATTTGAGACATTTTTTTAATGATGTGGCGCTATCCAAGATGACGTGGCAATGCCAAGTCATTTTAAAATTAATTTGAGACTTTAATTATTGATTAGGATAATTAATTTATTAATATTATTTTCATTAATAAATAAATAAATTATTAATTTTTTATTATTAATTTTTATATTTAATTAATTAATCAAAATTTTATATGAAACACTTTGAGCCTAACCTTTTAGTTCTATGTCTTTGGTCCATTTTTTTAACACACAATTGATTTGTTGTGTTTGTGTAAGATATATAAACACTAACAACATTTGTAATGAAAACAATGTGGGACTACTATAACATCAATTAAAGCTTTCTTCATCTTCCCCCATGACAAATCATCTTCTCCAATTCTGCCTTAATGCAGGATCTCCTCCAATTTTGTCTCTCACATTATCCTAACTTTCTCCATGTCGGGTGAGTAAGATTGGGCGTGGTGTAAGATGAGTATTCATCTCCAAGAAATGAAGAAAATAACCAATTACTTTTAAGAAACTTATATGAGACGTTGAGTAGCATTTGCAGGGGTGTGTATCATTAATCTTTAAAAAAACACTATCTTGGGAAGTTAACCAAAAGAGGGTTGATATTTGTAACAAATGAAACTCCCATAAAACATCACAAAATAAGTAAAAGCCAATCACCAGCTGAATGACCATACATACAGTAGGTGGAAAATAAGTCAAGCCAATGAAAGGAAGAAACCTGGCATTTCATGTGTTTCGTGTCTCGAATATTCATTCTCTACTGTTTTGGCATTTTTTCTAAGCAAAAATACAATTGTCTCTTATTTTTCTAGTAATTGTTCACTCAAACAAATTGTCTCTTATTTTTCTAACCAAATAATAGATTGACTGGAATTTCATTCAAGCATTTCATAACTATTCAGTATTTTTACAGAAACTATTCAGATGAAATTAGAACCAATAACGATCTCTAATTTTCCCTTTCAGTTCCTCTTTGTAATTCTAATAATACTAAATCAATTGTTTTGCCTAGTGAGAATGCGACCCTTTGAATGTAATTAACTATATTCTTTGAAGAAACTTACCAAGAAAAAGACAATTCGTCCATGTAGGTAGTCAGTGATGTTGTTCACCTAAACCAGAAGAGAGAGAAGATGATCTGTCATGGAGAAAGATGAAGAAAGTTTTAATTGGTGTTATAGTAGTCCCACATTGTTTTCATTACAAATGTTGTTAGTGTTTATATATCTTACACAAACACAACAAATCAATTGTGTGTTAAAAAATGGACCAAAGATATGGAACTAAAAGGTTAGGCGCAAAGTGTTTCATATAAAATTTTGATTAATTAATTAAATATAAAAATTAACAATAAAAAATTAATAATTTATTTATTTATTAATGAAAATAATATTAATAAATTAATTATCCTAATCAATAATTAAAGTCTCAAATTAATTTTAAAATGACTTGGCATTACCACGTCATCTTGGATAGCGCCACATCATTAAAAAAATGTCTCAAATTGGAGAGGGGACTAAAATCAAACTCAAAACTTAAAAAAGGGACCAAAATGGTGGTTTTAAAATGGAGGGATAAAAACCCAAAAAAATACAAAATAGGGGGACCATAGTTACAATTAAGCCAAGAATCAAAATTACGAATTTTAAAACAGAAAAAAAATGGAAAGAAACTTATCTTACCGGACCAGAAAAGGATCAACAGCCAGCAACACAACGTGAGCTCTTTAATTCACCGGTGGTGAAGAAGGGGAGGGCGTGTATCTGCAAGGTGCTCTGATGCCAAAGTAAGAGACAGAGTAGAAAGAGCAAGTACAGAGAAAGTGTGCAAAGAATTGAATATCTGATCCTCTAGTGAAAGAGGATATTTATAATGTGTCTCCAACGCTGGGTCAACGGTTACTTTGCACTGTGTTGGATTGGAAGGTCCAATGCGAGTAACTGTCAGGGCTTACGTGGCGTAGGGAAGACCAGTACGTGGTCTTCACCCTGAGTCAACTGCCTCGTGATCCTTGAAAGGTGGGTAGTTGACTGATGACGCGTCCCCGCGTGGAAGGAATGTGGAGGCCGTGGGGTAGACGTGTGAGATCTCCCTATGGGCATTGGTGGGTTGGGTCGTGCCCGACAGTGGGCCAGCCTCTGGTCCAGTTTAGAACAGAAGCTCTCCAAGTCATTGCTTCGAAGCAGAAGAGTAATGACTTAAGAGTCAGTTCAAACGTCGAGGACCTGTCTAGAGGAGTGTTGTGCGTGTTCAAAATAGTGGACTCGGGGACAAAATGCGTGGCCCAGTGAAGGAACTTGCTTGACTGGACAAGAGCTCGCGGGGAGGCCTGTCCATCATACGTAGTCCTGGCTCTTTTACTATTCCCCCATGGACATGTCCCCGGTGGGTGATGTGGCCAACTATGTGACAGAATCAGAAGAGAAATGGGCATCACTTGTCTCGGGCAGGAGAGGGAGTTGAAAGGACGTGTGCGATGTCTTCTAGGGCCACGTGCCAAGAGTAGTGAATGCCTAGGGCAGCTACGAGTAGGGGAACTTGAGTGTCTAGTGATGCTTTATTTCCTGTGCTAGGGTTATAAATAGGAGGAAGCTTGCTTCATTTGCACGCTCCCCTTCATTTTGCTCAAGAATTTTCCCAAGTCTCTCAAAGCTCTCTCCGCTCTCTGAAGAACGCCCGCGGCCGCCGCTACCGCTACCGTCTATCTTTCTCTGTCGTCCAAATTCTTCATTCATCAAGTAAGTCTCTGGTCTTATCATTAGATTCTATGAATTTTCTGGCAATTTTATGCATTTTCCGGCGGTTCCTCCGGGGAGCTCATGAAGTTCCCGGGGAATGCAAGAAGATTCCGGTGGCATTCATGAAGTTTCCAGCAAACTCATGAAGTTTGCGGCGCTCCTATGAAGTTTCCGGTGAAGTCGGCAGGAAGTTCATGAGGATTCTGGGAAACTCCGTGAAGTTTTCGATGAAGGTCTCGGGAACTTACGATGGAAGTCCCAGGGAGCCTTGCTCCCTTGACTGTGTGAACATCATGGTGAAGCCTCGTGTCGGGGAGGTTCGAGAAGGCTCTGTAACACCCCAAAAATTTGTCTTATCTTTTCTTAACCTCTTGGCTTATGTTTCATGTCAATTTGCATATTCATTTATGCATATCATCGATTATAAACATGGGATCAAGGTATCTTGATTGGCTCCTAATAGGAGGGTACGTTTCTCAGAGGCTCAAGCAAGGGGTTGTACTCAATCTCATGGCATCTCCAAGCTTCAAAGTCCTTTTCTCATCAAGTCGTTCTTAACCTTTCATCACTAAGGCATTCACAATCATCTGGATAAAGATTACAAACACCGGGCATATCCTTCTATCTTTTGATCATTTGGATTAGGGTTTTTGGATATTTAGGTATGTGACACCTTCATGGGCAAGAATTTTTAAGCCTCGTTATCATCATGTTACACAAATCATCTTTGTTTAAGAGATTCTTCAGCTTATTCAGAGGAAATATTATTTTGAGCTTGGGTCAACATCTTCTATCTTTTTGAATTGAAATTAGGGTTTGTGATAAAATTAGTTTATTCCTGATTCTTTGAGGAAAAACTTGATTCCATGGACTTCTATATGTACTTAAGCATCTATGGGTGGAAGATTGAGCATCATATGATAGTTGAATCAGTTGAATTTGAGAAAAATTTCAACTCATGATTTTTATGGTCAAAATTGTGTCCCATAATTCAAACATGACCAATGGATGAGATTTGATCAAGAAAAGTCAAAAGAATCATCAAAAATCAAGAATTGAGGAAACTTACTTAATTTGGCAAGTTAGGGTTTTCTAAAGTTTCCATTTTCGAGAGCAAGATATGATTGATTAAAGTGAGGCATTTCAAATGGAAAATT